AAAATTCAGTTTAAGAGCAACATCGCAAAATAATTTTAAAATGAGCATATCTTTAGAATTTCCGATACACAGTCTCTCGCGCTGGACATAAAAATGTTTGTTCTTTACCACGTTGGCATTGCTCGCTTTGAAAATCTTGAGTTTGTTATCGACGTTGTTTTGTGAATCGACGCAAAATGCCAATATTAATAATCCTTCTGGGAAAATTCCTTCCTTGGACTAATAAATGAAAGAAATGTCAAATTTGATCTAAAAAATAAAAAAAGTGGCGTTAGTTCTTAAAATTTTAAGTTTAATTAAAGGTTTGAGGAGCTTGGCTAGTCTAGCTCCTCAAAACTTTAGATGGTATTTTTAGATGGTAATAATACTTCCAACAAAATTTTGTTTAACATCCAGAACTATTAAAATGAAAGTAAATTTCCTTTGATTATTCTTTATATTTATATGTAATCGGCTGCTCATTCATACTTAACGAGATTGGGTTGCTTGGCTGTATTCATAAACAGCAGGTGACTATTTGGAAACAGGTGAAATCGTGTTTTCCTGTTTTCACCTGCTAGCAGCATTTCTTCCATTTGTTTACCGAGTTGTTCCAAAGAGCTCGGTTACTTCGAATCTGTTGGTTAAAAAGTCCAGCTAATATTCAACTCCATTAGCATTGTTAACTATTGGCGTGCCAACGTAAGAAATTGTAATTTTTTTCTGAATTTTACTAGTGGCTTTAATATTTTAGTGCAGTATCTTAATTCGGATTTACGGAAGCAGTTTAGTGAGCTGTGAAAGAGTTTTAAGTGAAATGTATTACCATTTTGATTCTATCTTTAAACTATGGAGAGAGTATTGGCTAAAAAAACGTGTTTGCTTAGAAGATATCATTACGGATCGTAAGCAAACAACCAACGAGATAGAATTACATCACAATAATCAACTATTGGCTTCACAATGACGGGTTTTCGATCGTTTATCTGCTTTATCTTTTGGGCAAAGCAATAATTTAGAACTTTTAGGAAAAGAAGAAAAGCAAGAATGTTTATTCAAGGCCTAGCGCAGATATTTCTGTGAGTAAAAATATAAAACATTATACTTGTCGTTTTGACTTAGAATGTTATTCAGATTCAAAATGTTTAACTGCATATAAACAGAGAAATAGATTATTTTGTTTGCCTTGCTTTCTGTTTGAGACAAATAAAGGAGTGTGGAATAGCAGGAGTATTTGTGATTATAACAATTTTCATAAAGCCGTGATTCGCCATGAAAAATACCATTCCCATTTATTTGCAATAATAAAATTGAAAGCATTTGGAAGAACAGAGATTGACTATCAAATAAGCAAGCAGCAGAAAATGTATGTTTTAAATCAAAATGTTGGAACTGATTCAAATAGAAAAATTATTAAGCGATTAAATTGATGTACGTTGCTTCATGGCAAGATGAGAACTTCAGTTAAAGTCAACAATAAACTCAAAGTTTCATGTAAGCAGAGAAACTATGTTAAGTCTTTCAAATACTCAAAATATGATAAAAAATTAGAAATTCATTTAAAAACTCCACTGTATTTAAATCAACTTCTAACTATGGAACAAAATTCAAAATGGTACTATAGGCAGTATTGGATATGTTAATGTTAGATGAAATAAAGAAAGGAATAAAGGAGACTATTTGTAACAATAATGTTAAATAAAACTACTGACATTGCAAACCTGTTTCAGCTTTTCTATTGTTTTTCGATTTGTGAAAGATGGTGCTGTTCATGAAAGATTTCTTGGCTTCATAGGTGTCAGCAGCGATCGCTCCGCAAATGGTTGAACATGTGTTGAAAATGCTTCTAGACTTGTAGTGTGAAAAACAATTTGCAGCTCAAGGATATTACGGAGCAGCGAGTTTTCCAGTCATTTAAATGGCTTGTAATCAGTTGTGGAAAAAAAAAAAAAAGTTCCTGAATGCCATTTTCATTCATTTTTATCCACACAGACTTAACCTCGTTCCATCAATGTAAATTATTTTTAAGACATTTTAATGGTCTTTCACAATTTCTTCCTCATTCTACAAAGCCCTCAAATGCTGTTAATGCAACAAAAGTCAAAAAACGCTTTCCAGTTGTTGCGAATATAAAATGTAATTATAACGCTAGAAATGTTAACACGGTATATGAAAATAAATGAAACTCATTAGATTTCTTGAGAGCGTCGCTGAAGATCCAGATAAATAAGAAACCCGAAACGTTCATAACTACTAAAGGGTACATGTCTTCATTGAAGGATTTTGATTTATAATTTTTTCTGAAGATTTTTCAGTCGCAATTTTTCACTGACAAATATACTTTTCAGTTTTCATGAGATTAAATCATTAGACGTAAGTATTGTCCAAAGAAAAGTAAAGAGACAATTTTTAACTAAAAACTAAAACTAAAAATAATTTTTAGTTTGTTGAACCTATTAAGAAGCGACGTTGAGAAGACAATACGGATAATCTCAGATATATGGGTCTCTATAATGAAATTATCGACTGTATTGGAGATGTTTAGATCATCATATGGAACTGAGATTCAAAGGTCTAACAGAGTTATATTTTTTTGAGCTAGATGGCCCCCAAAATACTATTTTTTCTATTCTATTTTTCTGCAGACTAAATGTATCTCTTAGTAACATATTCTGTAGAAACGTAAAGATTTAGTATAAAATAAGTTAGCGAAAAGCATAAGCTTAAAACTGTAGAAACATTAGGTTTATTGGAAGCAGGAGAGAGGAAAAATTAGCAATACCTTGACCGGGAATCGAACCACGGACCTCCGCAATACGCGCCCAGCGTGTAGACCACAACACCACGAAGGCATTCTAAGAAGGCGGGAGAAATAGCCTAGATACACCCCCTTTTCAAGGGCGACTAGGGTTTTTAGGGGATCCAATCGCCAAATCCTGGGTATGGAGAATCATTATCCATCCCCTTTTTAGTTTGGGCGCCACTTGTAGAGACATTAGGTTATTTGGAAGCATGAGACATGAAAAATGAACGATGCCCTCGCCGGAACTCGAACCACGGGCCTCTCGAATAAGCGTCGCGCGTGTTGACCACTACACCACGAAGGGCCCCTAAGAAGAGGGGAGAAATACTTTATAAAATTACGAGCACAGAGCCTTAATAAAGAACACATCACAATCAACATAGTCAAATTTTGTACAACTGCTACATAAGAAAATGAAATTTTCTTATTGAATTATTTTTTAGGCTTTAATAATAATTATTTCTTAATAATTCGCATATATTATTGTGCTTATATAAAAATGTATATAAATCAATCAAATTTTGAAAGTAGAAAAAAAAAAAAAAAAAAAAAAAAAAAAAAAAAAAAAAAAAAAAAGAAAAGCTCGTAACAATAAAGAAAAAATAAGCAAGTATACTGAGACTAAAGTTCTAAGGAACTTAATATAAGTTAAATATTTTTCGTTGGGCAGCGCTTTTGCTGTTTTGCGGGATCTACACTCATATCTATAAATTAAGGATAATGCAAAATCAGGCAAAGGAAGAGTTAGAAGCAAAACAAATTTGACTTATTTGTAAAGCTTATTTATTAAACAAAAGGTAAAGAGCAAAAAAAGATGCTATATGTTTGATATTATTTAAAAAATTAGCGATTTTTTCTCCCTGGGGCAAATTACAAAAAAAAAAAAAAAAAAAAAACCTATTTACAAAAAACCAATATTACATGGTTGGTATGATTGTTAATACATTGTATGTCTCCCAGATGATGCAATAAAGTCCGTACAACGCCTAGGCATGCTGAGTATCAAATTATCGATCTGATCTTGGGGGATATTACACCACTCAAAAAGCAATGCTCTCCGAAGTTCCGGTAGACATGTAAGAGGAGGTTGACGGGCTGCAACTCGTTGGCCAAGCATGTACCACACGTGCTCTACTGGATTCAAGTCCGGTGAGAATGCTGGCCAGTCCATACGGGTGATATCCTCCGACTGAAGGCATTCGCTTACGATGTTTGCACGGTGAGGACGGGTTTTGTCATCCATAAACACAAATTGTGCGCCCATGGCACCCCGAAACAAACGTACATGTTGTTCCAGAATGACGTGCCGATAGATTTGGCTTGTCATGGTTCCAATTTGAACATGCAGGTCAGTTCTGGAACCCAGAATAATTCCACCCCAAACGAGCAATCCTGTACCACCCTAACGGTGTCGTTCAATGATGTTTTCTTGGTGGTAACGGGTACCTGGAGCTCTCCATATGAAAGTCCAGCGAGAATCAGACTGCAAGATAAAACCTGGACTCATCGGAAAACATCACACAAGCCTACTGTTGCGGTGTCCGCAGTGCATGCTCTACTCCAGGCTAACCGCAAGCGACAATGAGTTGCAGTAAGTGGAACGCATATGACAAGTCTACGAGCATATAGACCAATCTGCCCTAAGCGTCTGTACACGGTCTGCCTTGAAATTTTCGTACCAGTAGCTGAAGAGAGCTGACGAGACAGGTCTGAGGCTGTGCTCCGCCTGTTTCTTTTGGCAGTAACTGCCAAATACCGGTCCTCATTCGGCGTTGTAAAACTGCGGCGACCTGTGCTGTAACGTCTACTGACATTACCATCATCTTCGAATCGTTGCAAAAGACTGGAGATGACACTCTGGGCAATTCCAAGTTCGTCTGATACTTCCAGTTGGGTACGCCCACATTCCAGACGGCCGATAATTTTACCACGTAAAAAATCATCCAAATGCGTCCTTTGTGTCATAACTATTCGGTTATTGCACTGAAATGCTTATAAAGCGCCTGCGAACAATTTTACTTCTTTGCCTGTATTCCTTATATATCACTCTCTTACACTCTCGTCATTGTGACGTACCAACCGGTGTCATCTGGTTACTTCCTGAAATTTGCATATGATTCTTGAAGATGTGTGTAGTGATTTTACATGTGATATATTTTTTTAGAGTTCGATTTCCGCGTGACTCCGAATTATACTTAATTTATAGACATGAGTGTAGTTACACATCAATGGAAAGGTCGACTGCGCTCTCAAAAATTCAGTCTTCCAAGATGAAGCGATTGCTATTGCAAAAGCCTTGCGCTACCTAATATTTTACAGTATTAAAAAAGCTGTTATAAAAACAAGCAATCTATCGTCGTTGTATGCTTTGGGTAATCCTGACCATCCATCTCCCATCATCCAAAACATTCAGCGTGATCTAAGACAGCACTTCCCCCATCAGCTTGAGCGGATCAAAGCTCATGCTGGGCATTACGGAAACGAAACTGCAGACAGTCTAGCCAAAGAGGCAGCTTCAGGCAATGCAGATACTGAAGTCAATATCCCATGGCCTATTTCTTATCTAAAGAAATGCCTGAGATTGAAGGCCATTGGACGATGGCAAGAGGAATGGGACCAGGGCTCAACCGGTCGACGCACGCAGTATCACATAGCGTATGTGGACACTGACCGTATCATTTACAACCCTCAGCTCGTTCGATTTATCACTGGCCATTATCCATTTCCGCAATATTTCTCAAAACACGGACTCAGCCATACTGAGTTCTGCTGCTGCGGAGATATTGGGTCCCCAGAGCATTACCTGACCACTTGACAACTGATCTTCATATTCAGCTGCCAAGTATCAACAGGCAGGCCTTCTGCAAATTTATCATAAAGCAGAGATATCTGATTACAGAGATTGTCAATTTAATGGACAAACTGTCTGCGCTGGGCATGGGCTTATGTCAGACAGCGTAAATTCTCCTGCTGCCATAAACGTTTGCTCCGTATGGATTATATGCAAATTTGTATAAGTAATATAATAGTCTTACATCAGCAAAGTATAGTACCAGTATTAATCAGTATTGTGTCAGTATTAATACCAGTAAAGTATTGTGTCAGTATTGTAACAGTTAAATATTGTATATGCATATTTGTATCAGTAATGTAACAGTCGTACATGAGTAATGTATTGTATAAGTATCAGTATATCAGTCCTGTTTCCGTAGTGTATCAATCATATTTGCATCAGTAATGTAACAGTAATGTGTCGATAATGCATATGTGTTGTGTTAATTCGCATTAGCTTAAGTCTTTGTAACGTGTTATTCAGTGGTTTTATTTACCGACTTGTACAAAATCATTCGCATTTACAATTAATCAGTATTAATCAGTATTGTATGAGTATTAATACCAGTAAAGTATTGTATGAGTATTAATATCAGTAAAATATTGTATGAGTATTAATATTAGTAAAGTATTGTATATGCATATTGCATGAGCAATATAACAGTCTTACATCAGTAAAAGTATTGTATCAGTATTATATCAGCCCTGTATGAGTAGTGTATCAGTAATATTTCATCAGTAATGTGCAAGTAATGTAACAGTAAAACATTGATCTGTGATATTTTAATTCGCAATATTTTGAGTCTCTGTAACGTATTATTTCGTGGATTTATTTACCGACTTGTGCAAAATCATTCCCATATAATCAGTATTCATAATCAGTGTTGTATCAATGAATTAGTACTGTAGCAGTATTAATCAATATTAATATCAGTATCAGTAATATATCAGCCTTGTATCTGTTCTGCATCAGTCACATTTGCATCAGTAATGTACCAGTAATGTATCTTTTATATTAATCTGTAACTCTGTAACATGTTAATTTGTATGTCCTGTCGTGCACGTTGAACACGTTTCAGGTGGCATTACGTATTTTGAAGGAATGCTATAGATAGTGGTGGACGTGGTGCTATACTGATTAATCGTTTGGTAAAGGGATAGTGCAAACGTCCTCCATTCTCTCTCTCATTAAACTCATAATGGTTCTCTTTCGTATTATTTAGCTAATGCTTACTCTGATTTAATTCACTTTCTCTTAACGATGATGTGGAGGTTATTGCTTCATTAAGCAAAGGTACTCCGTAAACCAACGCCTTGGTGCGAATGGCAGAATATAGATATCCATAAAGATCATTCTAGTGGGGAAAAAGTCCACAGTTTCAACAGTAACAACAGTTTCAACTTTAAACAGGTCATAAACTAAAGGTTTATTAGAGATCGAGATTCAAAAGCAAAAGCTTATGAGCCTTCATTTATGAATGATTAAGTTTGTCTATTATTGTGTTAGATTCGTATTATAATCTTGAATAAGGCATGGATATTTGCAGTGTCTTTTTTTCCTTGGAGATTTGGTGTCATTACCTGCATTGGTTTAGCCTGCTGGAGGAGAAGCTGCTAGTGATAAAATGGTAGATCACATCTTCTGGCGAAACTGTAATCAGCAAATGCCTGTCAGTAAGACAGTTTGAATAATTAATAAATAACATGTGTCCTTTAGTTTACAATTAATTAATAAATAACATGTGTCCTTTAGTTGTGTTTATAATAACTTAAGCTGTAAAAGAATTTCGTGACTACAGACGAAAAGTACTTTTAACTATAACTGTCTTTTGCTTTGCAAATACAAGCCTTAGTAACAGATAAAAACTTTATTTATTGTTTATTATGAATTTGTTTCTTTCAGCATTTACCGCTTCAAGCTTGTAGAGATAATAACACAATTTAAGGTAAAATATAATTATAAAAAGAAAACCTAGGATTGAACATTATAAATTCATGTAGATGTTTAAGCTCTTGTTTCATCACTTTTTAAGTGATTCAAGGCTCTTTAGAAAGCAACTCTTGCTGGTTCCTACTCAAACGAGTCGGTGATAAGTTCCTTGCAACAATTTCATCTTCTCTTCTGATAAAAGAAACCCTTCCTTAAAGAGTATGAGGATAAGGAATTGATTTAAAGCTTCAAAAATTTAACTTCACAGGTTAAAAAATGCCGCAATCAGGAAATAAAACGAATATCTCCGCCATTATTTAATTGCCCATAAATAACAATTTCTCGAGATTAGATAGAAATATCATCAAGCAATTCGTCATGTTGCTCGCGGAAGCTATTTTTCGTCATGTTCTGTCTCATATAAAGGAATATATTTCTTACTTTAATGCGATATAAATTATATTAATGGCTTTTATTTATATTTCGGTCTCAGTTTTAAGCTTTTATAATTATTCATTGATGACAAATTAGATTGATGCATCTTAATTCAAGTGCTATTTCTGAGTAGAGATTTTAACGCCACATATTAATTGTTTTAAAGGATCGCATTATATATTTAATGTTTAATTGCTATACAAATCATTGTTACATCATATTGTTACGTAATGCAATCTTGGTTACATCACATTGTTATATAACATAATCATTGTTACATCATATACAATATTACATTTTGGGTGGAATAGAATTAATTGATCAATTAACATATATGTAATGTATGTGTATGTGTGTGCATTTATGCATTATGTGTATATATATACATATGTATGTATAGATGGATGGATTTATATACTCATACACAGAGCATTCAAAAAGGATAGTTACGGGCTTTATTTCTTTGAATATTAATTAATCTCCGCTACTTAACCCAATATATGCTATTATTCATGCCGCATAATTTTATGCAAAAATGTCTCAATGTTGTTGTGAAGAGTTTCTTGCTATTAAAAAGCTAACTTATTTTATATGGTCACCATGAACTGAGAGTTACAATTGTAAAATATTCCTTTACCTACTTTAACAATTTAAGAAAGAAATTTCACATATTTACGTATAAAATTCGCATTTTTACGTATAATGTTTACTCTCTGATAACCAAATGGCGCCGAAGATGAATGAGAAGTTTCGTTTTGAAATAACTTTAATACATTCAATTACTTTCAGTTTATCAAACCAAACTGTAAAAACATAATAATTAAATATCCATATATAAACATTTAATAAAAATCCTATAACATGATTATATAAAACATAAGTATTAAAATAGTCATAAGTTAGCGACATTCTGCCGACCGAATTCTGTCGACGACAGTTCGAAAGCATGTTCCCAACGCAGGGCAACGAAGAGATGTAAATGAATTATGAAAGGCGTAAAAGTAGACATATACTCAGAATAAGAATAAAAATAAAGGAGTAAATAGTTTTTTCAAATTTGAAGATATATGCTGTTATGATATTATTAATCGTAAGAACGAGAACTTCTCTAATGTAGCCGCTGCATGATTTTAAAATCTCAGATTCCTTACTCTTAATTCATTAACGAGATAAGGTAAAAATTTTTTAAGTTAGTAAATTTATTTTCGAATACCTCTGTGAATTTTGAATTTGAATCTATGAAATTAATTTTTTTAACTATTTAAGATATTGTTGGAAGTATTAAGGCAACAAGAAGTAGCGTAGTACGATATGTAGAACGCAGAGAGTTTCCTGATTACAGACGATCTAACTCACGGTATTTATACTTATGAAAGAGCTGCCAAGGTGCCTGGTAAGCATTATTTTAAAATTAACATTAAATTACTAACTCTGCAATTAGTTTTCACTTGGCTTGTAAATAAACATATTCGCTATTATATGATTCAATGGCACAGCATTTTGATGCTATCTGTAGTCTCATTATTTATACGGTCTCACTAGCACAGCGCCATTTTTCCACTAACATTTTTCATTCGTTTCTGTGAATTTGTATTTATCTTTGTGACATCAAAATGAAAGCCATCAGCAACTACATATGAACCTGTAACAAAAACAAATGTGATTGCAGAAGTGAAAGTAGAAGTAATTAAACGTCTATGTTAAGGTCAAATGCCTTTCATATTTTTAAATTAATTTCACCAACTTTTTATCTATGCCTTTTGCATAAACTTTTTTTATGTTCTATTCCATGTCAGTCATTACACTATTTTAACTATTCCCACTGTAACTATCATTAATCACTTATATTTATTAAGAATTTTAGTGATATAAATCGGATGCCAAGACATGTTCAGGAATTTGCTTGCACTTTCGAACATAGTTGCCTTTAATTCGCTAACCGGAAATTTTATTTTACTAAGACCTATAAAAAGTCTTACTTTTAAAAATATAGAACCCGGTATCTTATACTCTTGTCTTGAGAGAGAATTTATTTATTTAAAAAAAACGTGCTATTAGAAGCATTCATCTATCATTATATGTGCCATTATAGGTATACATATATGTGTATATACTTGCACAAAAACTACATGAATTTCGATATTTATTTTTAATTTTTTTAATTATTATTTTTAATTAAATAAAATGATGATAAACTGAATAATAAGAGTAGTCTTGACATTTATATATTGTAAAGCTGAAAGTCCATCATTGTTGGGAACTGTGACCAATCTGTAGATAGACTAACAGTGAATTGTCGCTAAGTAACAACTGAAACTTAGGAAAGGTAAAAAAACCTTTATGTAAAACTAAATAAGATGTAACTCCGGTAGCATTTATGGCGGAAAACTTAGAAGCAGTAGGTCAAATGTAAAGTTTAAATTTAAATAAATTAATAGCCAAAGGCTACACAGAGAAATTTAACGCGAAGTTGGCTCAGAACTTCACCCGCGTAGATTTCAACTATTGGGAGTAATAATGCAAGGTCGAAGACAACAACTCTTATCTAAAGCAACAGAAACCTAGGAATGTGGTCACGAGGGATAGAACAAACACACTCTGTCTTACATTCTCAAAAC